TTTCGTTTGCACAACACTTAACTTACTTTCAATTTTGATCACACGTTGTGCATAATTTTTAAATAATAAATTAATTTATAGTCAATATCTCATACAGAGTCAACATCTCACAATTTTTTTTTACATACGCATCGCGAAGAAATGCCTACAAACAAATATGAAGTATTCTCAACTGATAATAACTGAATTTAAGCAAAACGAAATATCTAATATTAAAATCTAATCTAAACCTATTAAATAAATTGACGAATAATATAAAAATATGAAACGGTATTTTTTTATTTTTAGCACCTCTAATTTATTCTTTCTTTATTCTTTTACAACAACAAATATACATATTACAAACAGTTCATAAGTACAGTGCAACATAAACCTATATAAGATTTTTCTGCACACAGCAGTTCGCCGTCTTTCGAGCGGTCATTTTAATATTATTTAGAGTAAGAGGGTAGTTCGCTCGCTTGTATAACAATAACATGAGGATGAGTTATCGTGAAGGTTGGTTAGAGGTAAAGTTATTTTATAAAATTATTGAAATATAAATATAGTAATTATATTACAAATAGTATACATATAGTATAATAGTATATAGTATACAAAAAGTATATCAAAGTCATTGACAAACAAATGTCATTTTCTTTTACTTTTAATTCATGGCTTTTTTTGGTAGAATTTAGTAGAATATTAGTTATTTACATTGAGTTATATGTACTACGTACTAGAGAAGCCATTTTAAACAAAAAATGTGCACTACTCTATGTCTTCGCGTATGCGCGGGAGATAGTGGAGTTTTGGCGGGAACTTGACCGGCGGCAGTTAGCTGCTCCTGTTTTATTGTTTAAATAATGGTTTAAAGTGGACTTTGATATGTAAAAGTGGTGCGATTTTGTGTATTAAGTGTCTGCGCATGTGAACTATTAGTGGAAACAGTGAAACAAGTGCTCTGATAGTGATGTGATTCTCAAAATAAGGTGCCTGTCTGCTTAGGAGCCTTGAGATACCATCGCCAATCGTCAGCTGTCTGCTGGCTCAAGGTACCGTCAAAATCTCCCAAGGGCTGCACAATGTGACGCATCAACATATTGTGAAGCAGTATACTATGAAGAATAATTATTATAATATAATATTGTAACTTCAGGCTCAGAAGGACTAGATCCCAGAGCCATAAAGCCAGTTATTTAGAAGAAGAAGCTGGAGATAGTGAGAGGATTTGGCGGGAACTTGACCGGCGGCGGTTTGCTGCTCCTGTTTTATTGTTTAAAGTGAACTTAGATATATAAAAGTGGTGCGATTTTGTGTATTAAGTGTCGGCGCATGTGAACTATTAGTGGAAACTGTGAAACAAGTGCTCTGATAGTGATGTGATTCTCAAATTAAGGTGCCTGTCTGCTTAGGTGCCTTTGAGATACCATCGCGAACCGTCAGCTGTCTGCTGGCTCAAGTTACCGTCAAAATCTCCCAAGGGCTGCATAATGTGACGCATCAACATATTGTGAAGCAGTATACTATGAAGAATAAGTATTACAATATAATATTGTAACTTCAGGCTCAGAAGGGCTAGATCCCAGAGCCGTAAAGCCAGTTATTAAGAAGAAGAGAAGAAGCGAGAGATAGTAGAGTCGCGCATGCGCAGACACAGGTGATCTAAGCCACTCCGTAGGAGTAATAGTGTTCTGTGATCTAAGCGCGTTGCGCCTGCGTGGACAGTTTGTAATTATTTAAACTTTAATTTGAAATCTTGTATTATTAGCGATGCGCCACACTGCATGTATATTGAAATCACAGACTAACTAGTAGGTTGAAACCACACTAAATGACACACTGTACTTCTGCCAATTTTATTTATTTATTTATTTATTAAAAGCTTTTAAAAAAATTTACTTCGCAAATATCCGCGTTATAAAATAAAATGATGTGTCTTACCTAGTATGAAGAGCACCTCCCGCCCTCCCTCAATTGCGTGCACTATCCCCGTCACCACTAATCCCAGCACCGCTACTCCCAACACCACTACACTAGGCAAGACACACCACTGACGATAATACGACACGTGTTTCGCCTCTACACGAGGCATCCTCAGGTGATAGAGACTCTACGGTGGCTAACCGCTAAGTCTTAGCGGTTACATATTGTTATATACATACAAATATACATATTTAAATACATAATATATAATTAGTACATACAAATACCTATGAATATATGAGTCTGTTTAGCAATACATATCAAATGGATGAATCACGTAAAATGCGTTGTCTTCAATAGATGATTACGGACAAATTTTTTAAAAACATACTTATTGGGTGCTTTTCTGATGTCATCGGGCAAGGAGTTCCAAAGGCGTGTAGCCTGAACTGTGAAGGAGTTGCCATAGAACTCGGTGAAGTGAACAGGAATACAGATTTTGTTGTTAGAAGAAGAACGTAGGACCCTATCATGAGATGAGGAGAGATAGTGAAATGTACTCTTAAGATAAGAAGGCCAATATTCAATAATTTAATTTTAATCAATTAATAGGTGAATTTCAATCAAGAAATATATAATTATACTCTAAGGATATAAACCAAAAAAAGTTTGACACAATGAGGGCTAATAATTTTCTGCTCACCAGATGTCGCTAGTTGACACTGAGGTAAAGTTTTTTGTTACACAATGTAATTTAATTGAGAAGTTGGTTTTTAATAAACGTTTATCAGTTTCTAGAGTATTATTTTAATACACAAAACAATCCGTCAGTGTTTTGCTCTTTAATTTTATGCACATTTTAAACTTTTTTATTTTTCTACTTTTATGAATATCTGTGGTTTGGTTTATTTATTTTTAATCTTATTGATATAAAATATAGCTAATAGTACAGAAAGAGACAATAACTTTTACATTTTTCGAACAAATTAACTTCCCCGCTATGAAATCTGTCAAATATTATATCTCATTTTCTAGTGGCGCCACCCTGGTGACAAAAAAAGTCATGGATGCCCTCATTAACATTTTCAGTTTCTTTCGATATAATATGTATTTTTGTATCTAACTTTTAAAATGGCAATCTGAAACAACGCGAAGGAAAGAAACAGCAATATCTTTTTCTCACTTTATTCTTATAAGCCTAACCCACACGTAAACCAAATTATGATTGTGTGCAAATTTTTGGGATTTCATACATAGTTGGCTCACTCATTCAATACGTAGATATTTATTATCAGCATTTTGCATTGCATTATCCGCAGTCATTTGGGCGGCAGAATAAAAAAAACATACGTTTGAAGAAAACCTCACATTTCCTTCTTACCCTTAACTCCAAAAAAACTCGTAAAGTAAGAAAATTATTTTATTGACATAACATAATATGCTATCAGTCTGTTTTCTTGTAAAATAGAATTGAATGATAAACTACTATTAAATAAAAGTGTTTCTACAGATAAGATGGTTTTTGTACTATTCATTTCAATTCTTATAATTTATAAAAACATAACTTGCTCATTTTCAATGTCAAGTAAGGCACTTTATTTTTATTACAATATTATTGAAAACAATTTATCTGACGCACAAGTAATATGCCACGCCTTCAGAATAACATAACTTTTCTTTTAATCTCAAAAAATTAAACCCTTATATCGCAAATTCGAATACTTGTTGTTGGGGAAACGCATTTCATAATAATGACCAATTTCGATCATCTACGTAAATCACGAGTAAAAGCTTAAAGACGTGTAGTTAGGGTTACCATATCTCAGGATTTGTCCTGAGATTTCAGGATTTTTAGGCTCTTCTCAGGATTGCGGCTGGATTTTGCAAATCTCATGAAATCTCAGGATTTTTAGAACTTTCAATATAATACAGCTTACATTTTAAAGATCTCTTTAATAAAAAGTTAAACAAACTAAAAATAATTTTCCTTTGGTAATAATTCCACAATTAAAATCAAAACTTATTTATCCAAGTAGGTACTTAAACAGTTTTATCATACTTAATATGTGAAGATACCTTTTAAAGTAAGGTTTTCTTCTCAAACTGTAAAAAAATCTCAGGATTTTTAAATGGAAATCAGGCCTCTTCTGCGGACTTTTAATTTTTTCATCTGGTAACCCTACGTGTAGTATATAAAAAAAATTGGCATGGTACACTAATCAGGTCATAATATCAGAATCATCATTTTAAGGGAATTCCCTTAAATATTTACTTCTAGCATACGGCGGATTTTTCAATCATCAGGTAAAAGTACTAAATTATAAACCGACTCAATTAAAAAATTAAACAATTAACTATTTTACTCAACATCATCATTACAGCTACTGCTACTACTACTACTATGCTAAACATACTTAGGATTTTCCCCAAGGAATGCCACAAAGCATGGCAAAGCATACTGAGCTACCTGTCTATGTCCATGTCTTAATAGATCATCACGGAAGCTGCCTCTCAAGAACTTTTCTTCCCCATGGTTGTTCTTCGAGCTAGATGGCCGGCTTATTGTCACTTCAGCTTACTGTTTGGGATCTGTTGGGTTATGTTGGTTACTATGGTTTTACTACAGATATCCTATTCAACAACAATTTTTTATTCATAGAACGGTCATTTTAATGTTACGTGATATGTTAGTCAATTGTGAATCAATTTTGAAGATTCCTTTTTATTAAGTAGATACGTTATATTACAGAGGTGGTTTCCATATTAACGTGGAGAAAAAGAGGAAGTTTTTAATGGAACTATGTAAACCACATTGACGGTGTGATATTCCTACAAATTACTTTAATTTTTCTATTGACTATAAGAAATAAATAAAATGCGGTGACTACATAATGTAAAATTATTTTATTATTTTTAATCCTTCGAAGTCTGCTTTTCATTTCTATTATAAGTTTATCGTATGAACATCTTCTGATGATTGCAAAATCAGCCGTTGTTAGACTTGGAAATAAATAGTGTACTTAAAACATATTAACACATTTGCAACTTGCTTAATTCATAACTAAAAAAAACAACAATTTTGACATTATCACAGTTCACACAGCAATCTGTTTAGTAGCATAATGCACATCATCTACGCTGACATTCAACAGAAGCCTGGGTTCCGCTGGCTTCGGTTCCATCAGCAGCAGTTTGATGGATGCAAGTCGGGCACATATAGCTTGCGCTTGGGACGGCGTCGGTGCTCTAATACTAACCGCTGATTTATATGGACGCCCGTCCAAAGCTACAATTGCTGCCGCTGTTCCCAATGCACGGGATAATGTAGTTTCATCTGAACCTGTTCTTTCAACCTGTAAAAAATATAAAGTTTAGAAGGACTGGTTTCCCGAATAAAAAGAAATGGGATGAGAACACAAAATAAGGAAAAATATTATGGATGGTCAATTGACCTTCTTTATCGTCATGCATGCTCTACAAAGAGAGAGGCCCTTGCAGAGGCATCTCGAGCAATATCTATGCTACAGAGTTTTGGAGAAGGGCCTGTTTCATTGAATTCACAATCATACTACAACATTCACACATATGTTTATTCTCGCCTGTCTGTGCATTTTGCTTCTGACATAAACAATATGGTAAAATTGACTGACTGACTATGGTAAGATTGACTGGAAACCATGAGACTTTGTGGCACTTTTTTCTTTTATTTTGAACATCATTATTTCTTCTGTAATAGATTAATTAAATATCAATGTTTCCTAAGCCTTCTTTAATATATAACTTAAAATTTATATTAAAAATACATTAAATCAGAGTAGTATCTTTGTTCAAATATATGGCTATGATATTGGATTGTTTTTAAGCCGCCACTACAAATTTGAATAAGGCATAATAATATATTATAACGGTGATATATTTGTTAATATTATATTTTTCTATTTAATTTGTTTTTAACTACTAAAATATTTGTTTCGCTATATTGGTGAAACTGACAGTAATAAAAAAATTGCGATTGGAGGCCGTCCGTCTGCCATACGTGGCAAATATGGTTGACTCCATGGCAACATATAGGGGTGGCTTATGTTCAGCTGCACTTTTGAAAGGCTGCAATAAAAGAAATGAAAGAAATTTCAGATCCGACAATAGGTATCGACTACGAAGGCAATGACCGCTGAAATTTTGAGAGAAACAGTATATTCCTGTAAACTATTGCTGCAACATGTATGACTTTAATGGCATGAATGTCTAGACTAGACGACAATCTCAGACGGTCTAGTAATAAAATTAGGAAAACAGAGCCAGCGACTGCCACGCGTGCAGTTGCACTTTATTATTTATCAGATTGTCATTGTCTAAGTGCTTTTATCATTACAGGTATAAACCAATAGAATATAATATAATTATTTTTATTCAATGTAGATTACAAGATTTTTTTTATAGGATAGGGTAACAAACGAGCACACAGTCCACCTCATGGTAAGTAGTTGCTGAGACTCATAGAAATCTACATCTATCTTCGATAAACCACTAAGTATGTCACCCATGAGGATTAAGATGGAATTCCTCTTTTCCAGTAAAAAGGTTCTCTGGTTCTCTACACTCACCATACGAAACACAGCAGTGTTAAGATGCTATTTTATGCTGGTATTCTGTGAGAGCATGGTCCTTCCCCGGTCGAGCCGACCCATTCGTGCTACAACTATACTACTAATATAGCTGCAGCATAGCTCTACCATGTATATAATACTTATTGAAAGTAATTTAAACTTTAAACTTTTTTGGTATAAAGGAATGCCAAACTATAAATTTTGCTAGTGTGTTAACAAACCTCAGCAGCAACTGCCCTCAACATGAGCCTCTCGGCCGGCGAGCAATTCCGTATGGCCCTCACGGCAGCACTAGATGCGGCTTCGCCCAACGCCTGCTGCACTTCCTTTAGCCCCGCGCCCCGAGCTCCGGCCAGTTCCAGTGCGCGCGCACACAATGCTAGTGCACGACGCGCGTCACCTGACACCGCTGCTACTTTCCTGAAATAATCAATTCTGCTATTAGAAATAGAAATAAATATACATTATGATTCAAAACTAAAACATATACATGGTAGAGCCATGCTGCAGCTATGTTAGTAAATAGTTGTAGCACGAATGGGTTGGCTTGACCGGGGAAGGACTACGCTCTTACAGAATGCCAGCGTAAAATAGCAGCTTAACACTGCAGTGTTTCGTATGGTGAGTGTAGAGAACGTACCCCTTTTTACTGGAAAAGAGGCATTCCATCTTAGTCCTCACGGGTGACAACGCATATGCATTTTGATTCGCAAACAAGGATAGATGTAGATGTCTATGGGCCACAGCAACCACTTACCATCAGGCAGACTGCGTGCTCGTTTGTCACCATATCCCATAAAAAACATATACACCCCGGCAGCACAGTACAGTACAATGAAAGTTTGGCTTTCACCATACATTGCAACAAAGCTATGGTCTTAAGCAACCTGCATTCATCGACTATCACAAACTATCATTATCGTTATAGCCCATCATAGGTCTACTCCTGAATATAGGCGTCCCTCATAGATTGCCACCAAGTACGATTCTAAGCCACCTGCACTCATCGACTTCCTGTGTTTTATCAAGTCGTCACTCCATCTAGTAGGGTTAGTCCAGCACTGTGCTTTAGAGTACAAGGCCGTCACTCGAGAACCTTTCTTACTCATCGGTTGTCGGTTCTTCGAGCTATATGGCCAGCATATTGCCACTTCAGCTTACTGATCCACTGGGCTTGTCAGTTACTCTTGTATTTCTATGGATATCTTCGTTAAATCTCGAAAATAACCTTTTCCATTGCACACTGAGTGACTATGAGCTTTCTTATAAAGCCAGTACTTAAAAAATGTGCAGTAAGACCTGATTTTGACAATACAATGCTTGCTAGCATGACAAATGCTGTCATTTAACATTTAGTATTATAGAAATTATGCGATGGTATTGTTGTTATCACAAGTTACACGCAATAGTAAGCATAGGTTTTGAACTTTAGGTCCCCTTTTATTGCCGTTTAAAAAGCTTTTTTAACACCAAAGATACATAAACCTTCTTCACCAGCCAGTAACGGTTCACTATTAGACATAGACCTGCGTCTAGTAGGGAGGATTTACTGTAGTCAGATGTTTCGCACCTTTAACGTTGCTCCTTATCGCCGGCTAAGATATTCTACATCTGGCATACCATATGAGCTAGTTATACCGCCATCTATTGGTGGTCCCGAGATCTTTCAGGTATTTCCCAAAGATTTCTATGTTTTCTATTGGAGGGGCACTACGGTAATAAATACATTGCGCACAAAGTTACGGTCAATTTTCTGTAACTTCTTTAGACGACTGCGAGCCGGCGAGAAGACTAGTCTTTTTGTTTTGTAAGCCGCGAACGTTATTTTCGACAATCTAACACTGATTTTGTTTAATGTGACTAAGTAAAAGCTGTCATTGTTTATGTGCGCACTTTGTAAACGTGATTTGAAGTTTATTTCAGATAAGTATGTAACTTTATTACGTATTTGACTAAAAACAGTAACTGTTGTGGATGAAAATACAACTGCGTGACATATGTACCACGCCAGTGGGGTGCGCTCGCGTGATCCACAGCTTTGACACAGTTTTTATTCTGAGTTATCAGTCTACTAGTTGATAGAATTCTTTGCTATTTCTCATTGTCGTCTCTTACAACACGCAGGTAAAGCAATGGGGTGATTGGTTCCACTGCAATCCCACCACATCATCACAAAAATAACTACATAATAAATATAGTAATCAAAATAAATACTAAAAACATTAGTTTCAATTTTGGTATTAACATGTATTTAATTTTTTATAGATTGCTATTATATTTTCTATTTGTAACTATCATGCTAAGAAATCAAAAAGGATTAACTGATCAAGATCTAATTATGATTTAATTTTACCTGGCAATCAACTGAACAGCATCGGGCGTAACATTGGCACCTGCTAGTCTGGTAGCAACAATACATTGCAATTGAGTGTGCGTATAAGGTGGAAATGTAAGTCTTGTGAGGCCTAAACGAGAAGCCACTCGGGCAGCAAGGGCCCGTTCGGGTAAATCCATAGTGTTGGCCACAGCTAGCACTGTTAATAACGCTGAATTATGTGACGCCCATTCCATTATACTATATAATACATCTTGACGCCGCGTACAGAGGGCATCCAGCTGCAAAAGAAAAGTTATTAGTAGCAGGAATTTTTTATTTTTCTATTTCAAATATGACAGTCCTAAATCATTCTTTAGTGAGGAATTGTGACAGTTAGTGATGCAAGGATAAAATATTAGTAAGTTTTCTTTTTCAGTATGATAAATGAAACAAATAACAAACAAAAACTAATAACACTGGTCTTAATGGTTAGCCTTGGGTGAGACCCATTTTTTATTAACAGTTAATATTTTTTTTATTGAACTGATGAATAATGATTATTAAGATTACTATTTTTTACTGACCTCATCAACTACTAAAACTGTAGGGGTTCTGCGCGGTCCTGGGGTTGTAAAACGTTTTTCTAATAATGTGCATGCTTGTTCCCAAACCACAGATTTGCCTAAAATTAAAAGTATAGTTTTATTTCCACATTTATATTGTTATTATTGTAATAATTTTTATCATAAGTATGGTTATTATAAATTGCATCATACCTGTTAATTGTTTATATATTTGGACATACGCTTGCCTTGGTTCTGCAATTCTCATACCATTAACTTCAACTAATTGAAAATCTGGCAAATCTACTTCATCCTTTAGAATTTTTAATGCTGAATTTACAGTAGCAGTCTTGCCTGTGCCAGGTACTCCAGATATATACATACATCTAATGACAGTATAAGGATTAAAATTGGCTAACAACAAAAGCTAGGAGATGTAAAATAAATTTTTCTTTATACATACCCGCTCATATTATCTAATAATTTGTTTCTAACAAATGATAAAATTTCTTCCATTTGACTTTCGCGTCCAGGTAAAGAACGATTTTCATTAAGATAATCTGTAAAATGTAAAATAATCATCATCATCTTCATCACAATATTGTATAACTGAGATAGTCAAAGAGTTGTCAATTTATAATATTTCACCTTGTATGTTATCAACAGAATGTGCTCTGGAATGCAGTGTAGGTGTAAGCTCGCTGGTAAGAATTCTTTTGGTGACACTACGCTTAGGAGTTTTAGCAACATAATTTCTCGGTGTTTTAGGAGTCTTTGGGGTTTTAGGAGTCACTGGTGTCTTTGGAGCTGGTTTGAAATCATCATCACTATCATTTTTAATAACCTTCTTTCTAGGAGTTCTTTTTACTGGTGATATTTCTTCCTCAACGTAATTAACAGGATGTCTACTTTTTCTACCAGAGCGAGTAGAGATACCTTCTTTTCCTTCATCTTCAAAAAGCAAAACTTTCTTAGGTGTTTCATCCATACTTTTTACTTGTGATTTTCTTTTGGGTGTTGTTGGCGCATGTTGTTTTATAATTAGTGTTGGTAATTCATCATCGGAATTTTCTTTCAATTCCATAGAAAGTAATTCTTCTATAGCGTTTTTGTTCAGTTTTTTGCTACTTTTTGAAGTCTCTACAACACTATGTTCATGTCTAGTGGATTTATTGGGTGTTAGTTTTATTGGAGATTCTTTTTCATTCTTATCAGCTAAAATAGCCCTTTTTAGTAAAATTTTTGTTCCGTCATTCTTACTTATGTTCCAATTTTTTGATTCTGATACTGAAACCCTGCTCATTTTTTTAATTAAGCTATTGGGTGTTTTTGGTGTCGTGGTAGTAGAAATTATTTTTCTTGGTGTAGAAAACATTTGTAATGCTTTTCTTTCATCTTCAAGGACTGGTTCAATATTGACCTTTTTACGTCCACTTGCAAATAGCCTATATCTACAAATATAATGATATAATGGGGAAGCCTTTATAATATCATCGGAATCCTTGGTATGTGCTAGAGTTATGAAACATTTTTTAAAAAATGTTTCTATAGATACATCAGTATCAAATGGACGATGGTCTTCCACTACCTAATAAAATTTAAATAAATTAAATTGAAAATTGAATTTGACTTAAAAAAAAAAGACATTGCCAAATCGTTAACTGACTGAATTTATCCAAACCCAAATACCGCAAACTAGTGATAAGGAACAATATTATGAAGATGAAAGCTCTTGGCTTACCAACTTCCGTGCTCAGCTTGGTGTGCATTGGTAAGCCTTTGAGTAATTCTTTGCCAGCTATGGTGGACTTTAACAGACTCTTAGTATGTGTAATGAGATAAAAAACATAATAATATGTATTATTTTAATAAAAAGATGTGAAATAGGAAAATAATAAATGTAACATAGTAAAAAGTGTTTGTTTTATTCATATTGCATAATTCTTCCTTTTTAATTTTGATAATCATGAGAAATTGTACTGACGATAGGTATTTATATTAGGCCCAACTTACAGAAAACATATTGCATAGCATTTATTATGCAGTTATTTTCAGTGATATTGAATTTTGCATTACTGTATGGAGCAGCTAACTTAATATGCAGTAGTAGCTGTTAACATAAAGAAAAAAGAGATATTTTTCAGTTCAGATAATTTCAGTCTTGATAAATTTACGCAGCCTATTTACGTCCCACTGTTGGGCACAGGCCTCCTCTCATTTCTGAGAGGGTTTTAGGGCAAGGAAATGTGCGCCGTGCTGCCCCAATGCGTGTTTGCGAACTTCACATGTCTTCGAAATATTTTTTTTTCTTATTTCTCCGACATGCAGGTTTCCTCACGATGTTTTCCTTCGCCGCCGAACACGTGGTAAATCAGCACTTAAAATTGCAATTAACAATTTCATTGGTGCCGGCGGGGATCGAACCCGGGTTGCTCGAGTACTGTGAAGCTTACAGCGAGCACTAACCATCTGAGCTACCACGGCTCTCTTTTGCCATGTAGTAGTAACATAAAAGAATCCACTATCTCATATTATACTGTGGGTGTTATAAGATGTAACAGATTGAAATGAAACAGTAAAGAGGCAGCACCTTTCTGATAACACCTCAAACATACCAAGCGTGGCAAATATCACTCTATGAGGCATCTATGGTGGTGGTCTATGTTCAGCAGTGGACTTTTGATATGTAGTAAGGAATGAATGTATGAATGGTGGCCTAAATGTAAACATTTCTGAAATAAATATATTATTATTGATGAGTTTCTATAATATTGACTTTTTGAATTATTATTCATGATACACCCGTTTTATTTTTTTTAACTATTTCTAATAACAAGAATAGCAAATCTAGTTATAAAACAAAATATGGCGGGTTGGCTATAGATGTCTGCTACTTGATTTTAATTATGTTTTCAGTTTAGGAGGCTTGGCAGGATTAAGCTTGAACCTTTTACAATGTTTTTGGTTGTTGGAAATGCATTTTGAATTAATTACGATAAAAATAAATTTCACTAACTAAAAATTGCATATAACTAAACAGTTCACTCATAATAAAGGTAATTAATTGGACCTAGACAATCCATTTGTGGCTGAAGAAGGGACAAATACACAACCAATTGAGTCACAGAGGACAGCAGTCAAGAGGTTTCTCAGAAAAGAAAATTATAACAATTCCCATTACATTGTTTCATTTACCACTATCATAGCAGAGTTTAGGGCGACCTGACTTTATAGATAAGATAGGTCAAATCTGTACTAAAACCGAATCAGAACGCCCTGACTGCTCGTAATCTTGTCTGCCCTACCCCTAGTGTTTTTATAAAGCCGTAGGCACGGAAGGAGAGCAGCCCCCACCCGCTGCACCTGCGTGAGTCATAGCAGCAGAGGCTCACACAGGTGCGTTGGTGTGCATGGGTAACTGTGATTTGCTACACAAGGGCGAAGGAGCTGCACTTCCTGCAGTGCCAAAGCCATTGCAGAAGTAACTTTGAGTCAATGTTCCTATGTAAAAAAGTGAGGTTATGATTTAACAAAAAAATTATTACTCATAAACTATACATTTCCACAAGAGGGGAAGGGTATGGGGGATTTCCTGAACCCTCCCCCTCTCACCCCCTATGCGATACTGGTTGTCTACAGTTTTACCAGTACAGCTTTCAAATTTAATCATGTGTGTAATGTACATATTTTAAGGGATGAGTTTATGCGTAAATCTCCAGAGTTTAATACTGTCTGCTCAATAGGAATAGTTAATTTTAAGTGCTTATTTATAAAATAAAAATATTTTTTTATATTCAATAAACATAGGAAGTCCTCCAACATATATTCAGGTGCCTTAGCAATCTCTTTTCTTCTCAAAAACTCTGTCAAAACAGAAGAGACCTGTGACCAGTATTTGGAGGCATGTAGTATGTACTTTAGTAAAACAGGAAAAATCGAAGTTAATAAATACCTCTTTTTCAAAGAAAGCAATTGGTTCTGTTTTGTTCAAACACCCATTGGGTAAGTCACTTGGTCTTGAATACCACTGCACTTTTGCTCTATATGGATCATTTTTGTTTGAAGGATCCTCATATAAACAAATAATTTTTGCTGCATCGCAACCCTCTTCTGTATCTGGTTCTGCAGCGTCCGCATTTGAAATTAATATATAATCGCCAATTTCACCCACTATTTCTTTATATTGAAACTTTCTATAACAAATGTCATAAGGTGGAATTATAACGCAACAACAATTTTTAACTACTTCTATATTAAAAATTGTATGCATGATAACAAATTCTTAAATTGGTTACAATGTTAAAATTAACTTACTCATAATGTTTGAAAGTAGTAGTTAAACACTTTTCATTGGGTATTTCTTCACTAAGCCAAGCAACAGGTTTTGATCTCATTACCCTTTTTCTCATTTTCTGTTTTTAAGTAACACTAAAAGACTTAAAGTGATATTAACGTTTTTAATAATGTGTTTTGTTTTTGTAGTAAAAGCTAACTACTAGGCGTGTGTATCTCTTTACGGAAACGACTCACTGATACGAATCACTGAAGTGACACAAAATATTGGTTCAGTAACAACGTTTCAAATATTTCATTTGTATCTGGAACAGTGAAACATTACTTTGCTCTTTGCTCATTTCGCGCGACGCGTCGCTTGCGAGGCGACTGAGCCACGAGCGAGAGAGAGAGACTGAGACAATGATTAACTTAACTATTGACTCACGAGTGGCGAGTGAGCGTGCGAAATAATTATAATTCACACAAGTCAGAGATAACAAATAAGAAGTGTATCACTCAACTCGTACGGATTTTCGCTGACGTTATTCATGCACGTAAAAATTACCACTAAGGCGCTTATGTGTCAAATACTATACGGTCGTTTTTTGTATGTAACGTTTGCATTAACAAGTTGTCATTTTACGTTGATGCGGCACTTGTCAAATTGTTTATATTCATTAGCGCCTGTTGACGAAAACATACTGACTTATATTTAGGATTTCTTTGCGTAGTGATTATTGTGACTACTTTCTTCCTTTTCATCATAAAGTTTAGAGTTATGATACTTTACGAGTAAATTCTGTGTACATAGACATTGCTGTTTTGTGTAAATGGACATTTTTGTAAATAACGAATTGACATAGTGACATTTTTGTTAAAGTATGAAGGAGAATCGATTTTATATACAATGTTATTACGGTACACAATAAATAATCTAAGCATTTATATTATTCAGCATTGTTGCCTCATAACATTTCACGGATCAGTCAGTAATAAACGCCCGCGACGCAACTTAATGTATTCGGAACATTCTTTCTTTTATATCTTTTGAGTCGTTGATACAAATGAGCCAAATGAAACATATCAGTGTTTCGGAACATTTCAGTGATCAAGATGCAAATGTTCCAATCCCAAAAATGATACAATTTGCCCACCTCCACTAACTACAAATGTCAAGATCAAAGTCAAATCTTTCGCGGTTTCGCCGTTTCGCGGTTTTTTAAAATCTTAAACTTCCTGGTACAAGGAGAAAAAGGTCATTTAATATACAGCCAGTTTATACACGAACCATAGATAAATATATATGTAGACACGAACTAATAAGTTCTAGCGCTATAAACTTACTACTTTACTGGCACTCCCCCCCCCCTCAGTCTCAGTTCAACAGCGGTAGAGCCACGCGGCAGCTTTCGCTGTTGCACGGATGGGCCGGCTCGAACCGGGGTGGTACCACGACCTCGCAGAAAACCAGCGTGAAGTAGAGGTTTACCTCTGCGTTTCTCTTGGTGAGTGCAGGTGGCCGGAGGCCCTTTTTACTGGAAATGAGGCATTCCATCTTAGTCTTCACGGGTGACAACGCATCTACATTTTGATTTGTAATAGAGGATAGATGTAGATGTCTATGGGCCGCAGCAACCACTTACCTATGGAGTGTAGAGTAGAAGGAGAACCATCTTATAAGGAGCGAAGGTTGAAAAAGTGTCCTACTATTTACTGTAAATAGAGGTTCCAAAACCTACCACAATAGCGCTGGCGTCTGAAAAACTACGATATGAAGATAGCTGTTATGAACGGAGTGAAGTCAGCTGAATTCCAATATTTCATGACTAGAGTAGTTAGTAAAACGCCAATATACAAAATCTCAACTATTTACGTAGTACAAAACCAAGCGGATCGGTCGGTCCTTGTTTATTTCTCCATCTTATTCTAAATACTTTTGGCGCTTCTTTTTTAATTTATCCTATGCTACTGCAGCGCCACCCTTATTGGACGCGTTTTTAGTGACACTTTTCATATACAGAGATGGTCCTCCTTCTACTTTACACTCCATACACTTACCATCAGTTGGACTGTGTGCTCGTTTGTCACCCTTATCCTATAAAAAAAAAGTCTATGAATTTGGAGTAGATATAAATATAAAAAATACTACGTATTTTAAATAGCAAATCTCACAAATAATAACTATTTAAATTGCACCCATTCACCCATGCAGTTTAGAAATAACTAGTTGTGCCCCGCGGTTTCACCCGCGTATATTACGCGTCTGCCCCTTGCGACATGCGAACTTCGAGAGAGACATCACGACGGACGGTTGCTGAATTAACAAAGATTTAAAAAGTGAAATATGTTACTAAAATTACATGGTTAACGTAATTGGTGGTTATGCATGATACAGGTACTGATACGAATAATGTGGCCTAGTTTGTATCGGCGTTACTATTTCACATTTTAACATGAAAAAGTAGTTATTGTGACATAACTGTAATAGTTATAAAACTGAAGTACATTACTTTGCTCTATTATCAATAGTTTCCGCAGCGTACGCAATATAAGGATTCTTTTTGGTATTTTTTTCACACTTTAGGTTACATTAACGAATTTTTCATACGGATCCCTAACTTTTTTGAAAATATTATATAGCCTATGTTCATCAGGGATAATGTACGATTCTAATGGTGAAAGAATTTTTCAAATCGGTCCAGTAGTTTCGGAGCCTATTCAATTCAAACAAACAAACAAACAAATCTTTCTTCTTTATAATAGTAATAAGTGAAGAAGTGTAGATGTACACAAATAGTTAAAGATCGTTAACCTTTTAACGTCGATTTTACTTCAAATAATCAGAATTAGGTACATTTTACTTCAAATAATCAGAATTAGGTACATTTTACAGTATAAAAAAACTGCACCTTGCTTGAATATAATTGCACTATCGTTAAAATGCATTAAATGCAATGATAAGCTCAAAAATTTACTAAAACCTTTAAATGTCGAATAGCTGATTTTTTTTCAACAAAGGTTTTATAAACTTTTTGTGTTTATCATTGCATTTTATGCACGGGCGTAGCTATGTAACCAAGGGCCCCAGGGCAATAACGAAATTGGGGCGCTATTTAAAGTAAATTGAATTCTTTAAAAGTGCAAAACTACTTCTAACGTCGTAACTACTTCTATGTGTAACGCATAAACAATGAAGTATTATGTGTAACGCATAAATAATGACGAAATAGATTACAGTTAATAATATAGGCAGACAACATAACAGTGGAAGAGCCATATGGCAACTTTTGCTGTCGCACGGGTGAGCCAGACTAGATAGAGTGACGACGTGGTAAAACATGAAATGAAGAGCTGTAATGAACTAATGAATGGATGGACCAGCTCGAACCGAGGAGACCTACGACCTTACAGATATACAGCGTGAAGTAGAAGTTTACTTTGCCTGTTAAGTGCTGGTGATTGGAGGCGTAATCCCTCTTCCCCTTAAGATGGTAGTGTAATTAAATAAGAAATCATCCCAGGAGGGTACCAGCACTCCTAGTTTTGGAGAATCACTGGCTGAGCATCCACGCCCAAGCTATCTTACTCTTCCTTAGCGCAGGTGCTCAAGCCGACCTTGTTCTTTCTAACCAAGACGCAGGTGTCCTCTCCGGTCGGTACTTCTCTCCTAACTGGGGTAGAAATTATAATACTTATGTACCTCGGGCTTGAGTTTGCGTATACGTCAGAGAGGACATCTGTTTTCGACGCCTCGGCAGTCTTATAGGTCAGCGACGACCATCCTCATGTCTACGGGTGCCTCTATAAATAATGCCGACATAGACCAACTCATTGACCACGTCCAAATCACTGCAGACTCCGTGCTACAACAGGTCCCATCTGCAGAGATCGTGATCTTTGGTGATTTTAACGGCCACCACGCTGAATGACTCGGTTCTCGTTTAACCGATCATGCTTGGTGAGATCTGTTTATGACTTTTTCTTGGCATATCGTCCGACACAAATGGTTACTTCACCTACGCGGATTCTAGATGTGGAGGATCGTGAACCTTCCCTGTAGGACCTTGCTGTGGCCCATAGACATCTACACATCCTCGATTATGAATCAAAATGCAGATGCGTTGTCATCCGTAAGGACTAAGATCGAAAGCCTCGTTTCCATTAAAAAGGGTCTCCGGTTCTTTACACTCACCATACGAAACACAGAAGCGTTAAGCTGCTATTTTACGTTGGTATTCTGTGAGAACGTGGTTCTTCCCCGAGCCACATTCGTGCCACACCAATACCAGTAATATAGCTGCAGCATGGCTCTACCACCTATATTTTCTATTTTTACTACATTATTTTCACTTAAACACAGCCATTTTGGCAACGCGCGCAAATGATTCTGTTCCAAACGGTATTTAGTGATAGCTCGGCTCAAACATACATATGTTTATCGCAAGCATTTAGGGATAATGTAGCTTCTTATGAATGAATAAATTTTAACAATCGGAATAATAGTTTCGGAGATCGCCTCCTACATTCAAACTTTTTTTATATAAGATGGGAACTTTAACTCTTTATAATAATAGTGTAGATCTCTGTTCAAAACATGGCGCTCAGTTGCTAGCACAGGTTTTATTATTTTAGAATTATTTTTGTAAACAGGTTATTCAACTGTAAATAAAACTCGAAGCTCCTGTTTTATCGTCTGAATAGTGCTTTGTAGTGGATTTTCATACGTAAGTGTATCAAATCTGTGCGCATGTGAACTATTAGGGCAAACGATGTTACAAGCACTTTCATGATGATATAAATCTCAGGTTTTTACGTTTATGGGCTTTGAGATATTATCGTCATCAGCTATTAGCCGGGTTAAGCTGTCATCAAAATCTCCTAAGAGCTTTGCAATGTGACGTATCAGCAAATTCTAGTTTTGTGAATAAAACACACAAAAGAACTAAGCTGTATGATCACAACAACATTAACAATGATGCTGTTGTCCACAAAAAATGTGTCATTTGACATTGTCAATGTCACTTATGCTTATTGCTTATGACTTGTGGTCTTATGTCAATTACACGTTTTGATTTTGAGTTGAACTTTAGTTATTTGAGTTATATTCACTTTTTTGGTTATTTTGTGAATATATAAAAATGAAATTAAAGCAAAAGAAATCATCGAAGACGACTTTATCAGAGAAAATAGCAGATGCCCTTACCGTTAAACCGCGAGCAGATATTGAAGATGATCATGTATTCAATTCAAAACCAAAAACGCTTTCACGTGCCGAGTTTAGTTCATCCGATAGTGAAGATGATGCGATCATTAGTGAATTCAGGAAAAGGAACGTTAGTTTGTTAAGCGAAATCAGTAAAAAGTATGAAGGAAAAGTCGTATCACGTAAAGAACTTGAGGAGAACAATGAAGAAGCCGATTCAACTGTTAAAGATATAACTAATGTTTCGGATAAAAACGACGTCCATGATAAACAAAGACATCAAATAAATACCGATAGTAATTCTGAAGGATCTGAAAGTGATGACTATAGTATTACAAACATAAAAAAGCGTATTGCTAGTTCACAAGATGAAGAATCAGACGAAACTGGTGATGATGACCATATTGATAACGACGACGACGATGACGACGAGGACGATGACGACGATGATGATGACGATAAGGGAACATATGATATCAGTCAAATGGAGGAACCAGTCAAAGAAAATTTTGAACATATGAAAAAGCAAAATATTTCAGAAGAAGCAAAAAAGGGGGCTTCTGTGCGTAATCAACTTTTGATCTGGGAAAGTCTCTTGGAAATGAGAATCCATCTACAAAGGTGCATGAGTAGTGCTAATAAAATGCCAATGAAAGACATATTTATGGAATTACGGTACAATCCAGAGTTTGCAGAAGAAAGTAATAAGACTATAAATAATGTAGCAACTATATTAGATAAGTAAGTAAATACAGAGAATTAAACAAAATTTATATTTTTTAGGCACAAATTTTTGTAATATTCTTTTATTTTAAATAGGATTGCACCCCATCCTTAAGATTAATTAAATTAGTAAGTTTTGAGGACAGTGGTACTATTAAGAAAAACTTATTAACCATTTCACTGTCCTGAGATTCATATATGAACATTATGATAGTTTAACTATTGTGTATTTTCCATCGAGAGGGAAACTGTTAAAAAGCACTTGTTTAGATTTTGATGGAAAAAAATAACAAGATGTAATGATATGACTAAATGTTTTGTATACCAAACTAATGAGTTTATTAATTTATTCTTTATTGCATTCCTGAAAACAAAAGAATGCGAAGGGCAATTTAATGAATTGAGGTATTATCTACCAGTCACCCCATAGAGTGGTGAGAATTTGATGTAGGTGTAGCAATACAGAATAAAAAAACAAAATAAAAATTATAATTACAAGGTTAAAATTATGGCTAGTAGCCAAAATACGGTTATAGCCAGCTACTACTAGGTGCAGCCTATTGTGGTTGGTTAAATCTAGGTGTATCATATATAGTTTGAAAATGACCACACCTTAACCTACTGTCGCTGATATTACTTGATGCATATATCCGTGTTTTTACAAATTTAACAGTACACCTAAATTTAACCAACTACTGCTGGCCACACATAGTTCTAGCTGGCTAGAACTTGGTGTATCTGCACTTCGGCTTTTAGCCGTAACATATACATATTACTAATAAGTAAACTAAACAAATATAACCTATACATACATATCTACAAATGTATACATATTGATATACATATATATATAAATAGCACATATAAATAACTATGAATATATATGTCGAAAAAACATTGTCTTTAATAGATGACTGCACAACAACTTTGCAGTTATTAGGTATTTTTGAACAAATAAATTATTAGTTTTAGATCTAGATATAAGTAGTTTTAGGGGTATAGGATATTAAGAGGTAGGATATGTGATCTCTTCAGATCCTGGATTAATGCATTCTAGCTTGTTTCTACTATTTTATTGCTTAAGCAATAATCTGGGCATAGGGTTAGTACATGCATTAGCAGCATAATATACAGAACAATTACAATTAATTGGGAGTTCTACGATGTGCTGGTGAAATAAAAGCTATCTGTCATCCCATTTTGTCCTGTGGTCAGTGTGGTTAGTAACTTACAATTAATAGGGAGTTGTTCCATATAGTAGCGGAGTAAGAGAATCTATGAGCTCATTTTGTCTGGGTGTTACAACTATTAGAAATGTCTGAAATTTATGGCTTTTGATAGATGGCTGTAAAATCATCTCGTTAACTTCAGATATACAACACCTAGAATAGCAGTAACTAGACTGGCAATGGGCATCAAAAGTGCAATATCTGGTAATGTAAACATTAATAAAGCTTCCAAGCATGATGATTAAGGCATAACTTTCCTACAACGGGAGAGGCAGACACATATTCAATTTATAGGCTGAAAAAAAATGTAAAGAATATTAGAGAGAACCAGGTACAAAAAAAAAGAACATACTTCTTTACATTATTTGGACCGACATAAAAAAATTAAGTAATTTATTTTTATAGTAATATAATAATCAACTAATAAACATAATAATTCCTTTTCAGACTGCTTACCCTACAAAATATTCTTTTCAAAAACTTTCCTGAGACTAAGTCACTATCAATAAAAAAACAAAGTAATGGAGTTAAACAGCCAAAGGAGATAGAAAAAGAAAGTGATGAGGAGATACCAAGTGATACGGACAATGAAGAAATACCTTCAGATACTGACATTGAAGATGAACCTGAGAAAGAAACTAAGAAAAAAGAAAAAATTAATTCTAAGAAGCGAAAGCTTGAGGATTACGAAAAGGATTTAGATTTATCTCATAAGGCTTTTAAAGCTTTTAGGGATACAACAATACAAAAATGGAATGAGAAAACTCGTATTGCTACAGCTGCTAATATTAAAAGTGCACCAACAAATACAATCCTTCAACAAATATCATATATACTCTCAGATAGAAACAAACTTATCAGACGTACACAACTAAAAAGATCAGAATATGACATCATAGGTTACAAAAAAAATTCTGTATTAGATGAAAATAAAGAATTAAATCAAGAAAATCCAGTGACGAAGGACCGAAAGGACAATGATGAATATATTCCAGAAATATTCGATGATAGTGACTTCTATCACCAGTTATTGAGAGAATTAATAGAATGCAAATCAGCGGATATTTCTGATCCAGTACAGCTAAGTCGGCAGTGGATTGCATTGCAACAAATGCGAAGCAAAATGAAAAGAAAAGTAGATACAAAAGCAACAAAGGGAAGGAGAATTAAATATGTAGTGCATAATCAGCTGGTAAATTATATGGCTCCAGAGAAATCTCTCCTTTGGACTGATGAGAGTAGAAATGAATTGTACAGCTCCTTGTTCGGTAAAATGTTTGAATCCAATAATGTAGGATTGAATGTAAACTTAGAAAATGTAGAAATAAAGAAGTAATTGTTATTTAAAATCAAGTCGTTTTGTTTAGTGTTGAACATATTACATCTTTTTATCATGTTGGGCAGGTGGATCAATGCGAGCATAGCTGGTACACTAGTACTGGTAATACTGCGACCTATTACTGGTGTGGCGGCGCTGTCGTCGCGCCACAAGCGAAACTCGTCGAATCTTAAAGCGCGCTAACAAAGTTCCGAAGTTAAAGCAGTATATATAGAATAGCTCCGAACTACCAATTGGAGCGTTGGCCGCTCCCCGGGCAGAACACCTTGCCCGGCGGTAGATCTCCCCTTTTCCTTCCACCCGCTACAGTGGTGACCAACCGACGTGGTATGAACACGCAACCAACATCCTTCGGAAACTACACCTTGTCGTAAAGCGACAATTAAAAACAAAAGAACCTAACCTAACAACAACGAAACAACAAAAATAGAACAAAAACGAATAATTTATTTAAAATTTAAAAAGATATTTACAGTTTTATAAAAAAAATGAAGTATGATGATGATGATGATGGATGACGTGAATTACAATTATTTTAAAAAAGATAATAAAGATAGATGAGTACTGAAGCGGAGCCCGAAGACCAAAGTGGCACACCGCGCTTGGCGGTGGTGCTCACCGCTCACGGAGTATGAACAGGCCGTGCCTGTGTTAGGTGCGCAGCGCCTGGTCTAGGCACACGCAGCGCCTGGAATAGGCACACGCAGCGCTTGGAGTAGGCACACGCAGCGCCTGGAGTAGGCACACGCAGCGCCTGGTGTAGACACACGTAGCGCCTGGAGTAGGCACACGCAGCGCCTAGAATAGAATAGAATAGAATATTTTTTATTCAATATACATTACATGTGTAATTCTTATTGAAAGTCATTTTTTACTTTACCACTGGTTCGAAAAAACCCTCTGTCCTGGGAAGAACCAGCAAGAAACCCAGCGGGACTTTTTTTTTAAAATAAATTTTACAATATAAATGATTACGAACTATTTACAAAATTTATTTTAGAAACTGCTTGGAAGCGATCACCTCATTCCCAGGGGTTATTATCAACCATGTATTCATTTATACTATAATAACCCTTTTTATACAGTTTCAGCTTAATAAAACATTTAAACTTGGTAATAGAGAGAACCTGTACACTTTCCGGGACCTTGTTGTAATAGCGTATACATTGCCCCAAGAATGAATTACTGACTGTGGAGTCGAGAAACTGGTATCACTAGCTTGTGTTTGTTCCTAGTGTTTACAGAATGTATATCACTTCTTTTACTAAAACTATCTTTGTTTTTGTGAACATACATTAAATTTTCGTAAATATACTGAGAGGCCAAAGTTAATATATTAATTTCTTTAAATTTATCTCTAAGGGACTCTCTCGGTTTTAGATTGTAAATAGCTCTAATGGCCCTCTTCTGTAAAACAAAAATAGTTTCTGAATCACCCGCATTTCCCCATAGCAAAATCCCATAAGACATTATGCTATGAAAATAACTAAAATAAACTAATCTAGCTGTCTCGACACTAGTGAGACCTCTAATCTTTTTTACAGCATAGGCTGCAGAACTTAGTCTGCTTGCTAATTTGGATATATGGGGGCCCCACTGTAGCTTTGCGTCAAGAGTGATGCCAAGAAAAACAGTGGATACAACAGGGCTCAATTCCTCCCCATTTAAAAACACATTGGTATTAAGATTTTTAACATTGGTTGTTGTAAATTTAACACAATTAGTTTTATTTCCGTTCAAATGCAGATTATTAACGTTAAACCAATGCACTAATTTTGATATAGCATTATTCACTTCGTCACATTTAAATGATTGACGTTTAAGTTTAAAAATCAAGGAAGTATCATCAGCAAATAATACTATACCATGACTATCCCCTACAAGATGAGGTAAGTCATTAATATACACCAGAAACAGGAATGGGCCGAGAATCGAGCCCTGAGGAACACCCATTAGTACAGGTGACCCGGAAGAACTTTTACCATTGATAATAACCTTCTGTTTTCTATTACTTAAATAAGAAATAATAAGTTTAAGCGCTGTGTTCTTGACACCATAGTACTGTAGCTTCCTGATTAATATCTCATGGTGAACACAGTCGAAGGCCTTGGAAAGGTCACAAAATATACCCAAAGCATCCTCTGAATTCTCCCATGCATAAAAATATGTTTAATAAGCTCAACTCCAGCGTCAGTTGTCGAGCGACCCCTTGTAAAACCGAATTGATTTTTATGTAGCAATTTATTAATATTGAAGAAACTTAACATCTGATCTAAAATTATTTTTTCAAAAATTTTACTTAATGTTGGTAGTACAGAAATTGGTCTAAAATTGGCGGGGTCTAATGTACTACCAGATTTAAATATAGGTATGACTTTACTATGTTTCATTAAATCAGGAAACACACCAGATTCGACGCTTATATTAAATATAGTGGCTAGATAAGGTGCTAATGTATCTATTGTAGATAAAATAACTTTAACGGAAATCCCCCATAAGTCTGCCGTTTTCTTAATATCAATAGTTTTAAAATATTTAACGATATTTTTTGGCAGTACCCTATGGAATTTAAAAGTATTTGAACAAGCCTTTACATTTTGTTTGAGCAATGATTCGGCGACAGTAGGAGAAGAATTTAATGATTTTGTTGTCAAAAAAGGAACATCAGTAAAATGTTTCTCAAAAGCCATAGCAACTTCTTGATCAGATCGCGTTAAATTATTGTTAATATTTCATTGAAAATCCGAGTTGCGCGGTTTGACCTTGCCCGTTTCACTATTTATTATTCTCCAGGTCATTTTAATTTTGTCGGATGCAGTTTTAATTTTGTTGCTTAAATGCCTTAGCAGTGGAGCACACTTTTTTAAATATTTTAGAATATGTTTTTACATAATATCTAAATATAACAATACTATTATATGATCTTTCATCATAAAGCTCGTATAACCTTCGCCTACTTTTATAAATTCCTACGGTCGCCCATTCATTAAATGATTTGCGACTGTTAAGAGAGAAAGTTTTATAAGTAAATATTCTACTAAATTCACAACGTATGATTTCAAATAGCATACAAATAATTAGCAATACTTTTAAACGAAAGTGATGGAAGTCTTTTTATTATATTACTTCTAAACCTCTCCAAGCGATGTTCATTTATTGGAACAAACACAACTTTCTTATTTTTCTGTTTTTTGTGTATGAAAGGTATATATAAGGTATAGATACTAACTGTCCACAGTGATCTGGACTTAAATTTTGAACAATTGATTTATGCATGGGCTTAACATCTGTAAAAATGTTATCTATACAGGTCGCACTAGGCCCAGCAATACGTGTTGGTTCTAAGAATAAAAAAGGCGCTGTGTGTGCCTATTCCAGGCGCTGCGTGTGCTTGGAGTAGGCACACGCAGCGCCCGGAGTAGGCACACGCTGCGCCTGGAATAGGCACACACAGCGCCTTGAGTAGGCGCTCTCAGCGCCTGGAGTAAGTGCGCACAGCGGCTGAAGATAGCGCGGGCACTAGTAGGTGGAGGCGTGGGCGTGGCTAGGTGACGACTTCAGGTGAAGGCAGAGGCTTGCAGGATCCCGGGGCAGTGCGGCCCCGGGATAAGGCCTTTAGGAGGTGCTTCAAGTTTGAAAGCTGAAGCGAGACTGCGTGTATTGGTTTTTTTTTTTTTTTTTTGCGCCCGAAGCAATTGGAAAAGGGCTACCACTGAGGGAGGCGGAAAATGCATTATGCATACCACGACAGCCGGTCTGTCCTGGTTATGTGGGACTCACTGCCTACCGGGGGACCTAAGTGATACCCACTAAAAACCGCCTTTGGGGACTGGCAACTAGCTCTATTAAAGCTGCATATGCCGTATCTAAAGCGACCCTCTTTTGGGAAAAGAGGGCGCAGACGGCTAAGTGCCGTTTAGGGACTGCCTACGAAGGCATATTATTAATTTTAACTAGTTTTTAATTTAATTAGGATTGGCCTGAGCCGCCAGGAGGCAGTTCAGGTCGTTTGACAACTTATTTGGCGGGTCCAAGAGAGTGTTTCTCGGCCTGCGGACGCTATAGCGAGAAGGGAGTGGGGCGGTATAAGTAACTGCCTCACGAATAAGTGTGTTAGTATGCGACTCTGATACTTTAAAGAAGTTTTCAGAGAATTTTTTAAGACATTGCTGGATTGTTGGGATTTCTAAATCCCGGTGAAGGTCGGCATTACGGACGTACCAAGGTGCGTTCGTAGCTCGACGACAGAAGAGGTTTTGAACTACTTGGAGTTCGTTAATAATTTTATCGTTAGCGTGTGCAAAAATAGGAGCCGAGTAAGTCATAACCGGTCGTATACAAACCTTATAGAGGGTTCGCTTATTTCGTAATGACATTTTGCTATGTCTGCCTAACATACTGTTAAGCCGACCTAAATAGAAACGTGCTAGACGCGTTACTCTTTTGACATGAGACTCAAAAGTAAGCCTATAGTCAAGGGTGACGCCTAAATATTTTGCTGACATGTGCCATGGGACAGGGGTCCCTAGCATTCGTATAGGTGGAGTATTTTTCTTGTTTTTATTACGGCGTCTTTTAATATCGAATTGAAATAACGTGTATTGGCCGATTGTTCGGCTTATATACCTTTTTAGAGAGCTCCGCGCTCGACGGCGGATCTGGGATAAGAACGGAAAATTATTTAAATTAAAAGCAAATTTTTGTAAATGGCCAAGAAGAAAAAAGTATTTTTGTGGAAGTATTAAAGTAAAAACATCAGACCGGTAACGAATTTGAATAAAAATTGCCATGACAACCAGATAAACAACGATGTCAAAACATGTCAAATTTTGGTTTCAGGCTCGTAATAGAGAAACGGCATGATTTAAGTGAAAAATGAGATATTATTGATATAGGAAAAAAGGAAGCGCACCAGCGCGCACGAAGCCCGAAATTGCAGAGTTACGGAGAACTAAATAAAAGATCGAAAAATGTAGACTCCATCGACACCGATTTAA